ATCTGGTTTACCTCTGTTTGTCAGAAAAAAAAAATTGAAGTAATTTTGTATCTCACTAATATTACAGCTGCTGATTTATGACCAGGTATCTTCATTCATTTCTTGAGACTGCTCAGTCTCCAAGAAATGAAGTGTGATTTTTACAGTTTACATGGCAATAATTCATATGAGGGTCATGGCCTGGCACATGACAACGCCTGACCCCACATAGCATGATATGAGTGTAAGAATCACACTCTTTCTTAGGGTCAGCAGCTCCATGACACAGATCCCTGTGTTCAACCCACCACCCACAAAGTGGGGGAAATATGTTGTTTTCCTTTTTTAAAATTTTTCTTTTTTTTGCCAGCTCCCTGAATTACTTTCAGGTAGTTCTGCACATTTCTACTTTTTCATTTAATTAGGTGCAAACACTCTGTATAAATAAAATAAAAATTTCCCTGCAGCTAGTAGACTGTTGCAGACTGCCAGACACTGAAAAATGTTTGTCTGTGTTGCCATTGCCTAATAATTCACATTTTATAAACAAAGAAATCTTTCTCTCCTGCTTTTTTCTCTCACGTTTCCAGTTAGCTTTTAGGGGTTAGAAGCTTGGATACAGCTGCAGAATAAGTTTAGATCCCAGTATACAGTAGGTGTACTATCCATGACAAACAATAGGTATACAGTACTACCAAGGTTCCCTGCCTGCCTTTCAGTCACACAGACTCCATATCCTTTAGGAGATGTCATTGCAGTGCTTATATGTAAATTAGGTACTTCAGATCTCTTTACATGGTCCTTGGGAAGTCAAGTCATAATTCTTTATGTTCTTTTTCTAGCAGGGGCACAAGGCATAGACTTCCCCCATCATAATGATATGATACTATGAAATTATCTATAGAGAACTTACGTTGTTTTACTAAGAGCATATCAGAATGGTGTGTAATGTTGGTTATCTCTGTTTTGATGTGAAGTGAGAGAGTCTGGAGAGGGTGTGCAAGCTTACAAGTTGATGTGCTTCTAAGCTACAGAACCCAAATCCTCTTGGTTTCCACAGTCCCCCACTATCTACGAAGAACCATTGTCAAGATGTCTGGCTCATAGGAAACCAGTTATTTGGTTGCATTTATATATAGATCAACTGGTATCTGAGAGTTTGGAAATGGTAACTCATACCTGGGCATGGATCACCGCAAATAGTTACTGTTTTCCTCTAGTGCTGTAATTCTGTGTAGATGCTGCAGCCCAGTCTAGGGGCACTGAGCAAGCTGTATGCCTCAGTTTTTCCTGCATTTAGGTCCTTTCTATTTCAGCTCAAGACAGGACTTCAGAACTTCCAAACTGTATTATAAATTCTAATAATCATGCTGGTTAGAGCGCTTTAGTCACCACCTTGCTCATATATTAATCTGCATCTCTTTCTTAAAAATAAAGTAGTGAAAATTTAGGATGGTAAGTAAAGCTAAAGCCTATATCCCGTTTAAATTCAGTTCTTCAAGTTAAATTATGCTGACTGCCAGCATCTGAAGCTATTGCCTTATGCAGACAATCAAGTTTAACAGAAGCTCATGCTTTAGTGAAGGAAGAGGTACCTTTTTCTGAACAGAAACTTTATTTCTATTGTGCTTTATTCTGATACGAAAAGTGACCATTCTTATGACTTTCCAGCATTCTTCAAAGACCAGTTTCTTAGCCAGCTAGAGAACTTTAACAAATCTCCCAACATCTGCTCAGCTTGTCTTGAAATAGCAAATGTTTCGGAGTGTCTACTTGCTCAAGACCTCAGGACCCTAATCTTTATTTTGCAAAGGCTCAAGATCATGTGTTAGAATTTGCAGAACTGGAGCAATGTAAATTTTCTGCGGCAGAAAGTAAATATTCCTAGTAGTAGATATGAAGAGACCAAATACAATAATATCTAATATGTAAACACATATGTTGCTGTTTGCAAATGTGTCACTTTTATTTCTTTTAGGTGTTTTATTTAATCTTAAAAATCCACTCCAACTTGAATGACATATTCCAGACATAAATGTGCACAGATCCTGCTCAAGTTGTAGGTGTTCAAATCTTTGTTGTGTGCTTCACCTCACACAAGTGTCTTGTGTGTGTGCATTCATACATGCACGTACATGCTACATAACCCAGTGCCTTCCTGTGTCTTACTCACTGCATAAAAGTTTTCACACAATGAGGCATTGTTTTAAAAAATATCCCCATTGGCACCTTCACTGCTCCCAAAGCAGGCACGATCTATCAGTGGTGTAAAGCTGCAGGCACAATTAATCTTTTGTAATCTGTCATAATACATTGTATTTTATACACTGAATAGTCTGACTGATGTGTTACTTTAATGCCATGAATGCCAGAGGTTCTGAGCAAAATATTATATCTGTTTCTAAGTATCTTAACTTCCAGATCTCATTTTGAGATTTTGGTTCCAAGAAGGATTTGATTCTAAAAGCAGGATTTTTTTCTTGATTATTGTTGATTTCAATGCAAAACCATGCATATCTTTTAAGTATAAAACCTACTCTGCTGAGCTTTATAAAAATCTTCCAAAATACACTAAGACCAGGAGTTTTTTGCTGATATAAATATAAGACTGGAAGGACAAATGTTTGGCAGTGAAATACTTACCTTCCAGGAATTAATAACTGGTAAATATCCTTACCTTTCCACACTTTACGGACTTACTTTACAGTTGAGATCAGATGGCAGGAAGAAGCCAGGTCATTCTATGAACTGTTCATGCCTTCAAAAAGGAATGGATCTTGTGGTCTTGTGGTAATTCTTTAAAATCAGTAAGATGTTCCACTCAAGAATACAAGCTGAGATTTTCCAAGACAGGAGCCAGAGTGGCAACACGCCTTTACATATATCAACACAAGGAAATGAGCCAATTATAGCAAAACTAACCCAACAGACCTTCGGAATTTTAGATGGAAATCCGGAAGATACTGCCCTTTCCTCCTCCTGCTTTGACCAAACTCATGAGGACAGCAAAGGGCCAATAAAGTCATCATCCCTATGACAAGTGTCAGGGAAACCTGGAGCAATTGCTGTGGTCATGTTAGGTCCCTGTTAATGTCTGTCAGTCTTGCTGTAATTACTTACCCAGTTTCATGGAATCTCTTTGCTGTCTCACTAGAAGTGTCCACCACTTTTTAAAATAGGGGTAGAACTATTGGTGTATCAGAGGATTAAAACTGCATTTATGCCATTAGCTACATTGCTAGTAAAAGAAACATAAACTCAAGGCATATTACAATTTTCTGTTTCCCTTTCTGTCATTTTGTATGTTCATTCCTGTTATACAGAGCATGGAGTTTCTGTTGAAATTAAATGCACTTTTGTAGTTGTGTTATGCCCACTATCCTATGTTAAGGATGAAGTGAGAAAGAAATTTCATATCCTACTAATTTTGGAGGCAATCCTTACGAGTAAGGCTGGCAAGACAATGCGAAAAAAAAAAAACCAAACCTGCTGCCCTTCCCATTCTCTGAATAAACAGAAAATTCGAAGCTACCTAAAAGCTATTGGCAAGTTTTCAGCATGTGCATTCATATGCCTGCTATGGCTATACAGAAGAGGAAGAAGACAACAATTCTTTTAAAGTCAGCAGGATTGGAGCATCATCTTCCCAAATTCATCAAATGTAGGTATTTTAAAAAACTTCTACTGCTGTGGTGTTACTTGCTTCCTTGAATTTCTTATATGGGCGTTCCTGAGCTTGTGAGATTTTTGTGAGACTGAAACCAACACTGCACCTGTTTGTCATTCTCAGTTTGTCATTCAGACCATGCCTGTAGCTGCCTACCAGCACATTGCCTTGTAGGACACCAGGGCTTCTGGCAGAGAGAAGGGTCATCTCCTTCTTTCTGCTCCTGGATCATAGTTTCTTGCCAGACTGAACATTTCAGCCCAGCTTCAAATTTCTAAGGGAAAAAATTTTAAGAAGCTGAAATAAAAGCAAAATAGGATGGGAATATGAAAACAACATTTCTGAGCCCTGCAGAGTTCCAACAGCAACACAAAACTATTCCGTTTATATATTTAGCTAAATAAATCCTGGCATCACCATTAGTATGTTTCCTTTCATTGTGGGGGTTTCTTTTGACTCGTGTTGGGACAAATATAAGACAAATGAGAATGAGGGACAGATGTCAGTTCTGTAAGTGCTAGTGGGAACTGGAAACTCCTTTCATCAGCTGCTTTCAGTGTTTAACCTGACCAAGACCATTCATCTGGACCAGGAGTGCTGACAGAGACCAGCTGATGGATCCCCACTTCAACCTTCAGTTCCTCATGCCCATGCTGAAGCTGGAATCTGAAACAGCAGGATTAATCCATCCCAGTGCTGCTCTTCAGGAAGGCTTGGTCGCCAGGGTCCCGTGCCTTTTTGGCACTTCTCAGCCCTCACCTGAGCAACATCACTCTTGCTGCGGCAGCCACTGACCTCAGCAAGGCACGGCTGCCTGATTTTGTGCTGCGGAGAGGAAAACACTCCCCACGCCTGCACCCACATCCCTCTGGAGATGCACAGCTGAGCCCACAAACTCACCGTGTACCAGCACCAGCTATGTAGCTGCCCTTCTCCTCTCACACAGGGATTACTGCTGCTCGTCGCTTATCCTTTCCCCCCTTCTCTCTCCCTCCTGGCTTTTGCATTTCTTCCACCGTGATCCATTAGGTATTTACCGGCAGGATAATGTGACTTTTCACACCGGTTCTCTGTGTGCGCTGCCCTGCAGACCGGGCTGGATAAAGCCTCTCCCCAGCCCCAGCTGGCTGGACATCCCCCCCCACCTTCCCCTCCCCTTCACACTAGCCAAGCCAAGGATTCCTCTCTCCCTCCCTCCTTCTTTTTCCACCCCTCCCGCCTTCAGTGCAAACCCAAGACGAAGGATCCTGCCGAAGGAAAGCGCTCCTTGAAATCATCACGGCAGACCCCACTACGAAAGTGCAGAGGAGGAGAGAGAAAAAGCCTCGGCAGCCAACCTCCTGCAGCTGAGGGCTGTGCAAGCAGGGCAATGGCTCCAGGCTCTCAGAGATTCTCTCTCACCTTTCTCCAGGGCGTGGGATCTTTCTTCATACTTCAGATCATCTCTGTTAAGGCTGATGGTGAGTCTCCCATTCAGTTTGGGCTGGGTTACTATGGCTGGAGTGAGAGCTGTATGTTGAAATATGTTACTGCAAAAAACAAAAAAAATAGAAGAGAACAATCCCAAACTTTTTTTTTTTTTTTTTTTTTTTAATAAGAAGCTTAAATACATGCCCCAGTTTTCATTAGGAAACTTCTGATTCAGAGCTTTTTGAGACTTTACAAATATCCTGGGGTTAAGCAGAGAAAGGAAGTAAGATCCCAGAAGGCTAAGATTATTTTATTACAACAAAATGACAGGATAGTGAACTTTTCCAGAGGAAATAAAAAAAATGAAACAAAGCCAGAACACAACTAAGAAGACTCAGCTATATTTTAGGAGACCTCCTATAATTCAAAGTACCTTTTCTCCAAAGAACTTTCCCATCTCCCCACTTCAGATGTGTCACTTTACACAGGCAGGTACTTGAGGAAGGGAATCCAAGAAGTGAAGAACTTTGATAACCTCTTCTGTTCAGTGTCACACACACTGAAAATGACTGCTCACCTTTCTGCATATGGGCTTCGTCTGCGCTTCACTGCTGAGGGATGTGATCAGGACACGGATTTGGCTGAAGCACCAGCTACCAGTTACTCTGAAATGGGACTTTTTACTCTCTGATGGTGATCCTGAATAGCTGCATCCCTTGAAAGTTTCCATTAGCCTGATGCCCTTTTAATGATTCAGCTTGTGATAATGATGACCAATTTGTCTAAACCCAAACACGACTGACTTTTGAAACAACTGTGTCTTTTCCTGGGACAGCAATGCTGAATGGTCACATTTTTCCACTTTCACATCTGCGATAGATTTATGCTCAATCTCAGGACTTTTTTATTTCAATACCTTAATCCTTTACCATTGATGTTTGCTGGATTGTTTCAGAGAATAGAACTTTAATATTATAGGGCAATAAAAATCTCTTCTTGTTTGTTCTGAGTATTTTTCCTGTTTAAGTTAAATTTTGTTTCAGTTGATGACAAAGAATGGCAAAGAAAAGGGAGAAAATTAATCTTGCCTGTATGTCTCTACTGCTCCAAATAGAATGCATAAATGTATACCATTTATACAACAGAACCCTGTCATGTAAAGTTTAAGAGAGTTACATTTCATTAAGCATAAAAAAAATAAATGTGTCTGACAACTGCATTATGTTGCAGTAGGCAAAACTGTGGCTCTGTTTTTAGGATGTACTCCTTCCCTAGCAAAATGTCTTTGAAATGAAAAGAGGTGGGAAAAGCATATCCATGAAAAAGGTTTCTTCACAGAACTTAAGGACGCAGTGCAGGAATAATAATTTCCCTTGCTAAGAATTCTTCACCTGAAGATCCCCTTGTTTTTTCAGGAGCTCATTCCAATTTTTATTATTACCATAAAATTAACTAAACTAAGTCCTTGATTCCTAAACAGACATCTTCTAAGAGAAAGGAAAAAAAAAAAGTTGGAGATCATTTTAAAGCAGAGGTCATGAAAGACTTTGTCATTCAACAGTTTGTCAAATTTACTTCACATGAGGTAAAATATTTATAGAATGAAAGGGCAGAATATCTGAAGTACTTTACAGTTGTCAAGAATTATTATAATACTGTGGTTTACAGTTTTATTTAAATTCTAAATAACATTGTGAAAGATGTATGTCTGCTACTTACTTGATCTTCAGTGAGTTCTCCTAATATTAATATTCAAGGAAACTACTATAACACTGCCCTATAAACCATCTAGGTTAAAGCAGAAGAAAACACAGTATGTCAGCTTTAAAATTTAATGGTATACATTTAAGGATATCTGAGAGTATAAAACAGGATTAATACTTGCTTTTATAGCAGATTCTGGCCTGGTCCAGTCAGAAAACACCTTCCCATTTTTTAAGGTGTGGGTGAAAATATAATTGCGCTAGTCTCTAATACATGTAAATGTCACTTAAGTGCCAATGGACCATTCTGAATGACACATACGTGTTTGTGTATTTGTTATTTTTAACTGAAGGTATCTGACTGTGTTGCAAACTGCTAAAGGGATTTTGAATATGTCTTGTAAAAAACCTGTGAAATTCAGACTGGCCCCTGTTGCAGTCAAACCTCTGAAACTGGTTGCAATATATTTCCCTAAGGAAGACTTTCACTTTATTATCTCACACAAAAATAATGACAGAGAGTAGGCAATAAAACTAATGGCTGTCGAGGTCTGGTGAAGGTGTAAAGCTTCAGAGCTTAATTGATCTCTTTTGACCATTATTTACCATGGCACATTACTGTAGCACAAGTAGGCTGCAGAAATAACCAGGCAAATGCAGAAATAAAATATAGCTTTGTTTTACTTTGCAGCCTTTTTTCCCAACAGAAATGTGCTTGCTCCAAGCTGTTCAGGTCCAGGTCAGAAGGACAGAAGGCTCCCCAAGGGCTTGTTCATGCTCTGGGGTACCATGGTGTGCCACTGCCAGTGCAGTTACTGGGGGATAATATGTGTTATTGTGCCAGTTCTCAATTGTATCAGTGCAAATTCAGGGGGTTTAAATTGTTTTCCATTTGCATTGGAATTGGAGAACAAGGATGCGACTTCCTGAATCCTGCACAGGAGTTGCCTCCACTTTTTTTGCCTCCCTTTTTTGCCTTTTCAAGGCTCCTAAAATATCCACAGGTATAAACCATAGTTTGCTGCAGAGTACTTGCTCTGAGACAGAGCATGTCAGGAGAGGGTGATGGCGATTCATTTATTGAGAAGCTCCTGAAATTAAAAATGTGCTAATTTCAAAGCTTTACTAATTGTGCCAAACTGGAGCTGGTCTGTTGGCTAAATCTGGATTACATTAGACCCTATTGGTCAAGCCAGTCATCAGCAATGACCATGTACAGTGACTGCACAGGTTGCAAGTGAAAGGATCCAGAGTCCAGGAAGCTGGGCACCAATAGGTGAGGATCTGAGACACATGCCTCTAACTAGAAACCGATGACATCCAAAGTAAGAAAACCCCCCCTACTAGAGTATTAAATTTGGCTTGTTTTGCATCCTTTTTTTAAGTAAAGGAAAAAAAATGTATGTTTTTTTCTCTTCTCTCTCTAGACTCTCACATTTCAGTAGCAGATGTCTACACATTTCATTCTCCTGCTCACAAAGGAGCACACATTCTTGCGTAAATAATTCCAACTATTTGATCCTAAAGTGTCCAGTAAAATCAAAATTTAGGCTCAAGCTGGGTTTAGCTGATGGGGAACTCAAAGGTGACACCTCGATTTTGCTATTTTTCTGATGGTGTAATAATTTTTGAATTGAATAAACATCATTTAGTGTTGTTTCTCGCAGAAATAAACTCCACGTTTGTGAACACTAAGTAGAACTGGCAATTAGCCAGATCTCTGTAGAGTTAGTGGATCTTCTACCTTTACACTTACAATCAGGTTACGTTGTTACACACATCCATAGAAATGAAAATTAAATTTCTCTTGAAATTCCCTTCCTTTCCTCTGCTCTCTTTTACCTCAATTTGAAATTTTTAACACTCAAGTAAAAATGTATTTGACTCCACATTTACACATCTTTCACCAAACTTGTTTTGTTGAAACTGATTAGTTTTTATTCTTTGAAATAGGAAGTGCCATGTCATGAGATCAGCACACTGGGCATGCCTTTTAAAGTGCTTTCATTATATATTCTTTTTAAGGCACGTTCTTACTTTAAAGCATATTTGACTATGCAATTTTATGTTCCTTCTTCAAGCATAATGCAAATGCTGATGAAGACATGGAGAAATTTGAACTCATTTCAGTGGGCTTTGAGCTATGCACGTCAGAAGAACTTCTCATTGTATCTGTTACTGCAAAAGAATAAATCAGCCAAACTCTTTCTTGATAACCAATAGAATTCTGTTAAACCCACCGATCTTCCTTAAAATAGGAAGAAACAGCTTTTGGACTGGTTTTATTTTTGAAGAATTCCTTTTATGCACTTCCATATATCTGATTGTAGATGTCTGCTAAGTCTTGAAAGCTTTATGAGGATCAGTTGTTAGAAGCTGAGTTTAGCAAAATTTGGAGCTTGAAATAAGGTGGAGTAAGAGTAATGAACCATTGGAACAGTTTACTATGAAGTGTGCTGTAAATTCTCCATTACTTGGAGGCATTGAATGCATGTTGAAAAGACATGCTCTAGTTCAACCATGAATTTTTGGACTTGATGGTGGAATTACAAGGGGAAATCTACAGTCTAGTAAGGCAGGAATTGAACAAGGTGATAATAATGATTCCTAGAAGCCCTGAGATCTATGTGTCTGTGGGTGTGTTTTCAATCAGAATAGAGTGGGGTACTCTTAAATAAAAAATATATTAATCTATTGCAAAAACTAACTAAAACATTATCAATATATCAAAATATAATCCATGTTCTGCAATAATAGTGATCAGATAATGGCAGAAGCTAGCAATCTAATATGGGTTAGCTATTTTATAGGGAATCTCTTTTTTTTCAAGCATGAATTTTTCATGTGAACTCTGAATCCCACTGACAAGTAGCGGTTGGAAGAATGATGTCTTATTATTTATGCCTCATCATTGAAGTTAAAAGCTGTATCGCTTGTTTCAAATGGGAATCTAAAAGAACCTTACTGTGACAAGGATCTTTTTCATTCTGAACCTGCTAGACTCAACATGTTCAGTAAGCATTCTGAGAAACACTACTTTGTGTGGATTTTTAGCTTGATCTTTAAATAAAAGGGACTTGCTTTGCTTAGAAAAGCTTCAGAAAAGTTTGTGGAGTTTTGGTAACAAATTTCTGCACCCCCTGTGGAGGTGGAAGCGTTACAGGAAACAAATGTTACAGGGCAGAAATGAAGTGACAGAGTTGAGTTGAGAGGGAGGCACCATGGCTGCTCAAAGGTACCACAACCAAAGACATACTACGTCCCTCATGTAGACATCATCCTTCATCCTGTGTCTTATGGAAATACAGAAGAGTCTCATATTTAAAACACAATGACAACACATCTCTTGATACTGTCTCAGAGATAAGACTGACTTCAACCACCCCAGTACAAAAAAAAATGACTGCTATGTCATCAAGTATGCAAGACAATCCATTTTTAAGAAACATTTCATTACAAGTAGGACTGATAAAAATATTACAAATAATTAGCCAGGACCCTTAGATTCCCTTAGACTGAAAATTATACCACTTTTGAGATTAAAAGCGATAAAAAGTCAATACATCAATATCTTGCGTATGATAGCCATGACGCTGTAAGATGCAGAATTCAGTGTTGCAGTCTTCTTTGTTTAAGGGGATTTTCTGTTCTCATGTGCTTTTGTTTTGTTCCTGTTACCATGCTAGCATGTCTTCTGTATTTTTTTCCTGTCAATGCCTCTCATTAATGTGACACATCTCAGGATATTGAGGATCTAGTTATTCCATTGCATCTGATAAGTGAACCTTTCTTGCAATTATATTTTCTAAGTAAAAATTTGACAAAACCAGAGGGCACATTTTGAAAACTGGGCAGATACCCAAAGAGCTTCTAAAACTTTGAAGAAAGTTTATAGGTTGGTCTGGTATACAGGTTGTCCTTCCTTACCCACTTCTAACCAAATTCTGGCTAACCAGAATTTCCTATAAAGCAGTTCACTGTAACTTCCCAATCAGTAAGTCTTTCCTAGCTCACCTTATAATTCACTTGTTTATATAATTTGATCATCCCAGATACCTTTTCAAAGGACAGGACTCTGTTTTGACAGCATCTTCATAGGTCCTAGTAAAAAGTTGGTGTATCTTAAGTACTAACAAACAACATAACAGTAGTCAAGGGAAGCAGTCTCAGCCTCTGTCTTGGATAGGCTAAATTTCTTTAAAAATGTAACTCTTGCTTACTGGTAAAACAACTAAATCATTAACTACTTACACCTAGATGGAACTCAAAGCTTGATGATTTTCCTTTCTTTAAGGCTTCTAACTGAAATACTAATAACCAGAAAATAAGGGTTATGCCATGTCAGAATAACATTCACGATTTAAGCTAGATGTTATGCAAATTTACCCTATAAATCTTTGATGATGCACCTCAATCCCGACAGTCAAATGGTGAAATACAGAATGTGGACAAGCCTTTAGTTGGGACAAAGCCTTTTAAAGTATTACAATTAATCCCTGTTTTCCTTTAGGAGCTAAAGTTGTTTTGCAGCTTAAGAAGAGTTGTTCAAAACCATCATCTCTCTGTTTACACTGTCTCTCGCCCTAGGCCACACACGCTTCATTGTCTGTCGAGGCTTTGGATACAGGAGCTACATTAGTGCCATGTGCCTTATTTGAGACATGTTGTAAAGAATCCTGATGTTTGTATACTCAGGGCAGTAGAGGCTTGCTGCTTTCACTACTTTGTGTAGAGCCTCCAGTTCTAATTACAGTTAATGGTATTGATTACAGCAGAAAATCCAAAAATGATGCAATCTAACGGCTATCACACTGACCAGTGTTTCTGGTTGCATCCCTTGGTCAGCTACTGTTAAATGCCTTAGGAGAATCACTCTGGATACTCTGAATTTCTCTTCCTTCTCTTAGCTGCTTGTCCTGATTATTTAAATTGCCATTTTCCCAAGTCAGGATGACTTCTTGCTGTGCACGCGTAGAGTTCCGAGCAAAGTAGGAGTCTTTATTGGGATTAATCTGTCCTTTCTAGCCAATGTAAACACAAGTGACATGTTAACTTGAAAGAACTTCACATTTTTTGATGCAAGAACTGTGATTCTTCTAGTGGGTTTAGTTGTGCATAGGTGAGAACAGAAAGCTGTCAGGGGCAGACCTACCCTGTAAAAATTCCCTGTTTTTTTAGGATTAGAATCAGATTTACCAAATTGTTGAAACAGTATGTGGTGAGAGTGGCACTTGGTACAGAACCAGGCTGAATCAATCTGAAAGATTCCCAATGCTGCTCAATATCTCCTACGAGTGTGAAGCTGGCTACGTGGTGAACACCTGATATAAGATGGAAGTCATGCATTCATACAACCATTATCACTAATCTACTCCGGAAATAAGACATAAATAAGTGTTTCCAGGCATTTACTGAATGAGAAGTGCTTAAAAATTTTCTTCCTGCAACTACAAGCAATCTCAGACTGTACCTTTGAAAGCTAGAATGTATTCTGAGGGATGTGATCATCAGAAAAAAAGATAGTTATGGTAACTTAAATGTCAGCTGCAAACTGTCTCATTGTTTATTTATTTTTCTGGAGCACCCAGCTAATATGTTTATTCCACAACCCAGTAACTTCTCAAGCTTCATTGCCAAAACCCTAACTGACCTGTTCCCAGTTGCCAAAACCTCTAACTTTCACCCTTTCAGCTTTCTCTGTATTAGATAAATTAAAGTAAAATAAACTGAACTGAAAATAAAAATATCACAAAAAAATGTTATGCTAAATATGTTCTCATGCTCATTCAAAAAAAAAATAAAAAGCCTTCCATTAATAAAAAATTCTGTCTGTCTTTCCAAAAAGACATGATAATGAAGCAGTCTGTATTTAGACACAAGCTGTCATAGAATGACATAATTTTGATTTTAGGGAATAAGTATTAATCTATTTCTAACATGGAATACAGGGCTGCAATACTGGCTTTTAGGCATGTGCTTACTTTATAGATGTAGTTGTTATAGAGTAACTGTAAAATGTTTAGCAGTGGATTTTTCTGGTGTTATTAGCCTACAGGAGGTGTTATTTGTGACTTTGACTTTATATGTGTATATGAGAGAGTATCATGCTTTCTCTCCTCAGATCTCAAGCACAGACCTACAGAGGCAAGAAAAAGCTTCTCCTCTGAGTTAGGAATGACTAGTGGCTTAGCCATTCTTGCTTTTCTGGTAGTGGACAAAACTAAATTAATAGATTAAAATTAAAAGAAAGCTAACACAAGGATATTTACAGTCTTGATTAAATTAGGTTTAAAAAAAAAAAAAGGTGGGCCATTAAAATAAACTTAGTAAAAACACTAAGGCTTTATTTGGTGATAATTTGCAATATTTCTGTTGAATATGTGTTGAGCACAATTCCATGATGGATGACATGTCCTTTCTTGGTGTTGCAGGGAAAGTGTTTGCACTTGAGTCCAAGAACAACTCTCAGGGTCTGGATTTAGCCGAAGCTGAGAAAGCTTGTGTTGACCTGAGTGCTCGCTTAGCAACTGCAGAAGAACTGAAAAGGGCTGTTCTGGACTGTTCTTTTGCTGGCTGCACCACAGGATGGCTGGCCAGCGGCTCTGCTGGGTAAGGACAACAGCATAACACTCTCTGGGAAGTATGAGTGATGGTTTTCAAGAAAGTTTTCCACCTTGACTAAGATTTGCTGAAAAACGCAATTCAAGCACCATGACATAAAGCTAAATTTGCCACTCTCCCCCAAGAATTAGTTTACTACAGCTAATATTGCAGGTATACAATTATTCATCAGTCTCACGTTTTGATTTCACAGATTTGACACAATTTCCTCTCCTTTCCTCCTGAATTACATCGCTGTGGCTCCTGTTCCCCTGGCCTCTCGTGGGGTGCTGAGCCCTAAAGAGCCTCACAGGCTGAGGATACAGTGCTGGAGTTTGTGTCAGTGCTCCCACTGACTCTGTTTTTCTCTGTTATTCTTTCAGAAGCTCAGCAAACTAAACTTCTCATGGGAACCACATGTCTGTCTAAGGTATCCATGCATGGCTGAACAGATGATAGGCATGTTCAAAAGGGCACAGATGCACTTAGATATGATAACCCACATCTGGTAGAGAGTTTGTTGAGAAAGCTCACCAGGGAACTGATATTGTCCTTCAATACATTTGAGGTGCTCAAATTTAGCACTAGGCTGTTTTTCCTTGTGTGAAACATTGTTGCCTCTTTAGAGACTCATTTAAATCAGGAATGTAAATGGAGGCGTTGAGAGAATGTCTGATGTCACTGAAGCTGGGACCGTACATAAAGTATGCCCAGAAAAAGTGTATAAAAACTATTTCCAATGTTCAACGGTGATAAAGTTTTGTTTTATGAAAAAAATGTTTCCAAACTTTAGCATATTATTAGATTTTGTGACAGTTACCAGTTTTTTAAGTAAGCATCGGTATTTTTATATTTTTAGTAATAAAATTTCCAAAGGACAGAAAATTACTGCTATTAATGAAATTTCATATTTCAAAGAAATTTCAAGGAAAAACAACCATTTTCTCTGATTATATTTCTTCCCAGGTAAAAAAAATAGTTTGAAAATTTATTTGTATTTACTTTTGGTCATTAAAAAAAAATAAAAAAAAAATCCAGAAATGTCTCAGGAGCAAAGACAGTGACCTAAACCCTAAAAATCTTTCTTCCAAGACAATTGCTGAGATGTCTTGCAGGCTGACCGACTAGGAAAACTATGTATCTGTAAGAAGTCCATGGCAAAGTTGTTGTATGAGTTCTTTTATACAACCTCTGTATTCTGGAAGTAAGGAATGATGACACGTAGGAAAAGAAAACATTGCTTTTTTTATCTAAGGAGTACCACTAGTTAGTCCAATGAGATCCTCAATTAATTGCTGCGGGCACTGGATCTTGACTATTAATAGATCAGCTGTGGACTGAATATCTTCAATATCAAATTGTGTACTGTGATAAAAACACATCATAAGAATGGGAGGGAAATGTAGACTTTTCAGCCCTTCCAACTTGCTGTACTCCATTCCTCCAGTAAACCTGTCCTTAGTATGGAAGTCTCTGAACTATTTATCAGAAAGAACATTGTGGGGGCACATCAGCACACCGTTGCTGTGTAGTCACCAGATCTGACCTTCACTGGAAAGCTTCACCAGAGAGAAAAGTTCTTCAGAGCTGGAATTTTATACTCTGGGGCTATTTTACCCATGGCTGGGCAAGCACCAGAAAGTATGTTACTTGGTTCGTTGAACTGGATATTTTTGGCTCTGGGGAAAAAATAGGGATTGTGTACTGCCTAAAAAGGCTAATCTGTTTTAACTGTAAGTTAATGCAGCTCTGGAGAAAGAACTGAGCAGTCAAGTGCAAAGTGTGCAAATGGGACAAAGTTGTTTAAGTTGAATAAGTTCAGCTTCAATATAGAAATTTGCAGAGAAATTTAGAGGAAAGGGTAAAATGATGCCAAAAGGAGTTCAATGATAATTCATGCAGGAGGAACATGCAATCTGCTTGAAAATATCTTTACAGAGTTCTGGTTTACCTCTGTCAGGCCAGGAAAAATATGAGGACATGGCTGTGGACAGCACAAAGAAAACCTCTGTCAGACTGCAGCTGTAGTAAAAACAGACAAACAAACGAATATTCAAGCAAACAAAGAAGTTTCTAGTGTTTATGGAATGGGATGAAGAATATGAAAAAAAAATATATACATGTAGGTCAGTGTATTAGGCTCCTTTGGAACACTATATGTACTGTTACTGTATCTTGGGAAAGGTACTAAAAGTGTCTCAAAAAAGGGCTCAGAAATTATTAAAGTAGTGGAAAGTCTATTAACAAGGGACTCCAATTATTTTACTAAATTATTTTTTTATTTTTAAAATTTTACATAATAAATTTTAAAAATAAATTTAAATTAATAAATTTAAAAATAAAATTTTATTTTAAAAATTACCAATTCAATACCTTGGGCATTTACTTGATAACTGGAAACATGAAAGGAGGGGTAAAGGACAGCTGATATACAGAAAAATCGACATACAGAAATCTCCACATCAGCTGATATAACCCAGAGAAGGGAAAGCAGGCTTCACAGCATGCCCACAAGTTAGAGAAGTATGGAAAATTATTTCCAAAATAAAGGACTCTTTGCTAGGCACACCTTGTGTATTTATCTTGATGAACTTCCACATCTTTGAATGACGTCCCCACATCTGCCTGGTCCAAAATTATTCAGGCCTTTATAAGTTGGATCTAAAACCTTGGAATCCTCCCAGCAGCTGACTGGCGTCCAATGCAGATCACAGAGCTTTAGTCGAACACTCTCCCATATCCTCTTGGACTGTGTGCATCAGAAAGGAGATGAATAGGAGGGAGCATGATAAAAGAAGTTCCTCATTTCAGGAAGAATGAAGTTCGGTTTATTTATTCGGTGCCTGGAAGGTACCCCAATCTTTCCCCTGAGGAAAAATGGATTAGACATAGACAGTAGAAGTAAACACAAACAAATGATGTGATTGAAGTCTTTACAGTGTTGCAGATTTTCTGACATGCTTCAGCTCTCCTTTCATCGCTTAGATTTAAAACTGAACAGGAGCTATAGCAGACATGTAAGGAGTTTTTCACTGCTAACTTCATTCTCCAGGTTTTGCACAAATCTGTTATTTGTTCACTTCTGATGCCTATTTATGGTTTTAGTGAGTAATTACAATCCCACTCCTGGTAAATATATCCATCACTGTTAATTATTTTGTCTTTATTATTATTTTTACAGCCAAATCATAGCCTGGAAACCTGTGGGAGTTTCTCCTGTTATGGCAGAGGCACATCACTGAGTCAGTGCGAGCATGTTTGTATTGCCTGCTCTCTGGGCTATACCTCTTCTTTGGGCAAAGAGGAGCATTTGGACTAAAGAGCCAGCCCAGTCTGAGTGACTGTCAAATTTCTGATGACTCTCATGTAAATGCAGATCACCCATATCTAAATATATCTACTTCAGTCCTTGAAAACTGGGCTAGCCCAAGCAGCAGGTCTTGACAAATATGATTCATTTCAACTGATGCAGAATGGAAATTGCTTAAACAAATAGATCCCTGCCAGCAAATCCAAAGACACAATAAACTGGGTGGTTTTGTGGTTTGAGCAGCCTGAGACAGAACTTCTTTCACAGGAATAAGGGGATGTTCTTGTCTTGCCTTTGCAGTTTTTCAGGCCAACCCAATTCAGGGTTCAAGGCTCTTCACACAGACAAGTCTCTGGCAGTCCAGGGGCTTGGGAACTTTTTGAGAGGAGCCACTGACAAGTAGGTAGGGATAACATCTCCCAGCAAGCCAGAAGTAAGCCATTTACAAGTCAGTCCTGACATGTGTAACTTATAAAGCATTACACATTGTTGCATTTCAGGAAATGAAATGTCGTTAGGCAAGTCTCATTTGTCAGATGAGCCCTAATAACTATTTATACTAAAAATGACACTCTTATGACTTACTTGCATGTCAGACAAGTGAGTCAGTAAAACCATTAAGAGATCTGCCAGAATGTAAATGAAAAAAAGGTGGCAGAGTTCTCTGAAAAGCTCTCACTGCTATCTTTTGAATTCAGATGTCATGCTGGAAAACTTTGTGTTGAGTCTTCCAGTACTGGTCAGCACATCCTGTAGGGTCTTGCCCTCTTTACTGGGGTATTTGAAATTTGGGAAGTAAACATGACACAATTGGTCTTAGTATCAACCTTGTGCACAGCACATTAGAAAACAGCTATTTATTTTAGAAGTTGTTAAACATCCTCAACACCTTGTATTAATATCCCCTTAGCAAATTTACTAATTTCCAGTACTTTTGTAGGATGAAAAAGCTGAAGCTGTCCTATTCTCTATCCTGTTCCTTATTTCCCTACAAAGGAATGGAGCCGTGTATCTTTTCTATAACAGCTTTGAAGTGCTGCATAGAATTTTTCTTCAATGACAGACCTCCTGCAGGGCTGTTAACCTGCTCCTTTGAGTGAAATTGCCCTGGGCTGGCTCCTACCCAGTCCCTGGAGGATTTATCCCAGAGGGAATAAGTCTGGAGTGAGCAAGCAGAGTCAGCTAGAATAAGCTCTGCAGTGAGAGTCAGAAGACAGGAGCTCTTTTCTCAGCTCACCACAGACCAGATGTTTGCTACTAGGAAAATTACTTCGTCTCTATTTTTCCTTTGTTAGCTCTTTGGGTTTTGCACTGGCTGCTTTTGAATGCTTCTACAGTGTCAAACACAACAGGGCCCTCACTGCAGATGACACCAGTGGGAAATGTAATAATAAGACTCAAATATGGCATTTCACAAGACTCTACCTACTTCTTTTTCTGCCTACTGCATGGGAGTTGCCCAGCACCTGACAGTATGGTACTAAAATCACATTTCCTGGCAAAGAGAAAAGCAATATCCAAGGAATGAAGTAAAGGGTCAGTTGCTAACCATTGCAAGTCCTCTCATCTGTATTTGTAAAGCCTTGGGCTTGTGGGTTCCTTGAAATTCATCCAGGTGTGCATGCTTAAGTAGGCCCTCTTGGTCTTTACAGAGAAGCAGTTCTGGTTATACATTGCTTTGGCAAGCCCTTGGTTTTAT